TAGGCTGTTCGACAAAAGAACAAGAGAGTAATGAAGTTACAACCTGTGTAACGAGTAGTGACGTCAATGACGTCACAGGCATTGATAAGAATGTTGATCATGATCAGTCACCGAGCTCTAGGTGAGTCTCGAGAGATTGAATCAAAGGATAAAGAATTAGAAGAAGACATTATCAAGTTCTAATTCTTCATCGATCACAAAACCATCTTATCAAACTACAGTCTACACTCGCACAAGACTTCTCAACGCAAACTCATTACGCGTATATTTCCACCAATAGCCGGTGAGTAAAAGAAAAGATTTAATTGCCTTTTTCTCAAGTGAGAAAAAGAGAAAGATAACTGACATAGTACTTTGTACTCGATGGTCTTATGTTAGACTTATCGAACAAGTAGTACTACACAGTTATCAATTTAAAGAAGAAAGATTTTCTTATCGATTAAAGTAAAGTCATTTCATTACTTTCAAGATAAAGAGAAATAATACATTCTATGACATTAGGCTAACAACGTGTTGCTTCTCTGATAATCTATTTTAGTCATTTAACTATTATCTGATTAACTTATCCGAAGCCTTTCCATTTATCCTTGTCACTGAGCCTTAGCATTAAAATTATTAGATCAGTTCTGCCTTCAGGTACTGATCAAATTTCTCTTTATCATTATGTTTACTCATAATCACTTGTATTTCTTTATTAAGATTATAAAACTTACAAAGAAATAAAATTCTTCAGTTCCAATTTCTTTCAAGAAGATGGATATGAAAAGAGAAAAAGTTGAAATTGTTTTTTGGGTTTCTTTTCTACAGTTTCAGCAAAAGATTTGCGCCCTTGATTAGTCTCGTGTGTCTTTTCCTTTGCTGACAAGATTGCCAGAGACTTTACTTTTTCTGGTTGACTGGAGAAGCTATGCTGCTTTCCTGTTGCTGGAGATTGAAGGTGATTGTTCCAATGTTTGTCTGTTTTTAGTCAGGAAAATAGTCTTATCAGTTTCTTTGATCTTTATCGTAATTTTACTGCTAAGGAACTTACTTGTTGCTGTGATGGCTTAATCTGGCCAGTAATTATGGTTGTGAGTGGATATTAATTCCACTGATGAAAGAGCTGAGACAAATGGTTAGTTCAATGTCTGGAATCAGCTGAGAGCAGGTTTGATTAGATACTCACAAGGGTGTGGACCTTGCCGTCTTGTTCACTGCAGCCTTAATTCTGGTGCCAGTGGGTGAAACATGTGGGCTTTGTTCCCATGGGTTTGGGCTGACCATTTCTTCTCCTGTGTGGGCTGAGATCAGTTTTATCCCTTGCGGCATTTTCTGAGTTCTTAGATATGAAACTCACTTTGTTTTGTCTCATCTTCAGTAAGGTTCTTGAGAAACTTACTGGCTGACTCATACTTGTGAGGGAGAATCTGCAAAAAACTAAAAAAATTCAAGAATGGTCCAACTTCAAGGTTCATGGAAAAGACATTAGTTAAGCTTGGTTTCCAGAGTGGTTTCCTACAAAGTTAACACAAGTCCCTCAGGAGGGAAATGCCTTGCCCTACAGAGTCCAGCCTTTTGGCTGGGAGTATCTCCCCCTCCCCCATAGCGCCCACTACTACTCACCTAGACATCCCGCCTCTGGCACCATTGAAAGCACATGCTTCATATCATAATCATTGTATTTTTCAATTCTTTGATCTCAGTTCCTGATCCCAAGGATCATACTGTACAGTTGGGGCTGTGAAAAATATCTGTAAACAATCCGGCTTTCTTGGGGTCAGATTTTCCACCAGAAAATCTGGTATTAAATGCATCTTTTTCATGAAACGTAATGTGTCTAATCCCTTATACATGGCAATGGCAAGGCTTTTGAACACTGAGAGATCTAATGCCAGTCAATAAATACAAATTTTTATTAGAAACCGGATAGTATGGAATTGCGTAGAATCCAACAGAAACCTGTGAGAGGGTCAATGATTTGTTGAGGTCCAATCTGAAATTAGATTTCATTACACTTAGCAAAAATTCAGATCATTACTAACTAAAGGCACAGGAGGAATGGTGTTTTTGAGACAAAAAATTAAGAAAATGAATCATCTGAGAGCTGAGATGGAGTATTACATTTCTGTCTACTCAGAATTCTTATAAGCTGAAAATTGTGTTATTAAACAACTTTCAAAGGCATAAAAGTGGGTTTTTTTGAGGAAATCTCATTTTAATTGAGTCACATGAGGTACTTTGAAGGTAAGCCTCTCCTTTGGAGATTGCAGCCCCTTTGGGACCCTCCGATCGTGACTCTGAGGCATATGTACTCAGGACCGTTGGAGCGCAAAATAGGAACCCGGGCCGCCGAAGTTCGTCCCCGGATGGCCGATCGCGGCTCGACCGTCAGAGAAGCTCCAAATATGCAGCCCCAGGCTGAGGACGCTGCTTAGATAAGCAGTGCAGCGCGTGCCCGCAGCCGCGTCCCTGCTCAGATCAGCTTCTGTGTTTTTGATCGGCCGATCATCAAAAACCAAAAACCAACTAAAACCAACTACACAGCCAGCCAGCAAGGATGAACCACCAACTCACAACAACCACAACACAGCTAGACTCACTCAGACCCAGATTCGAATCAGCAATCGAGTACCAGATACCAACAAACAACAACCACAACAGCAGCAGCAGGACTAACAACCAAACCCACACCATCCAAGCAAACCATGCATCACAGTCTAACTGCTTCTTCCCACCCACCCCAACCGATGGATGGATCAAAACAACAGTCATCAACAACGGATTCACACTAGAACTCAGATGGATCAACCCAACCAAGACCAACAACCAGAACAACCCACTCCAACCACTCGACAACAGCCCATCCCATCAACCCATCCACTTCCACTTCCACCACAAGATCATCCCCAGCCCATTCATCACCATCTCAACAAACGAATCATCAGAACTAGCACTGGATCAAGAAGAAGAAGGAGAAGATCAAGATCAAGAACAGCAAGAGAAAGTACTGATCATCCTCATCCTAACCGATAACTATACACTCTATCGACTGAAATTCAGCTATCCCCAACTATTCTACTCGGAACTATTCGAAGAGGACTGGCTGACCGACTATGAGGTAGAGGAGATCATCAATCGACAGGTCATCCTCACCCATGGGATCGACTCAAACAATCTCATCATCTCATCATCCGATGGGATATTAACCCATCTCAGTTGGGGTAAACTGATCGGAATTAACGAGAACTATGGCTGGAAGACCTCAAACCTATCCTACAATCGCTCATCAGCCCTCTGGAACTTCCTACCCACCAGTTGGTCATCATCAGCAGTAGCATCCTCAAAAACCATTAGCTCATCAGCACACGAATGGATCGCAACTCCGACCTCAACTATCTCTATCGCCAGTCATCTCACAGCTGGCTCAAACGGCGAAGATGCCTGGCTATTCACCATCTCACGCGATCGAAAGCTGAAAGCATGGAGTCTGACTACCGGCTTATGTCTCAAAGAACTCCCACTCGATCATCACTCATTAGCATCACTATCATCAACAACAAAAACAATCTCAACAACAACCACTAATGATCATCAACAAGACCTACTCTTACCCGCCGCACCTCGTCCCTTGGCCAGATTCATCTACTCAGACGAAGGCGATGACCCCAGCTACGAAGGTTTCCTGATCCTCTTCGTCCCATCCCCCGTCTCACCCAGCTTTGTCACCTACGGACTATCACTGACGGCCGAGAACCAATTCAAAGATCTAGTACTACTAGAAGAACGTCGGTGCGATTGGAATGGGAAGAATGGACTCCAGATGGGCGAATTACGCGACTTTCAGATCTCCAAGGTCGATCTCTCCATCGGCTTTACCACCTCACCTTCCAAACAACGTCCATGGGGTCTATGGGCAGTCTGGGATGACGAAATCGGCGGTGAAGGTATACTCCAATATACCATCCTACACGAGACTCGAAACTGGCAGGAGAGCGTTCGAACCAGCTGGGTGACCATCCAACCACCCGATCGAAGGACACCCTGGAACTCATCTTTCTTTGATGAACTATTGGCCAACGATCCAAGCTCGAGCGTCACCGAAGTCTTCATCGACCATCTCTTTCGACCCGGTCATTTCTCTTCCTCCGACTTGGAATACGCGCTGGAGACCTACGAGACCAGTCTGGAGAGTGACGATGATCAGCCAGCTGTTGAGATGGATAATAGCGTCTATGAGAGCTTGGAGGAGAAGATTTGTGCCGTGGTAGGCTCGAAGGTCAAACTGGAAATCTCCAAGCAGACCGGCGCACCGATGATCGAAGGATACCATCGGAAGCTACGTATCGAATGGCTCAAGTTTGCGACGATGTGTGCCGAGAGTCGAGCGTCCTCCTTATGGCCGATCGAGCTGGCCGTCGATGCCGATCGACAACAGCTCTTCATCATCGGCCGTCGTTCGATCACCACCCCGGTCCTGATCGATACCGCCAGTCTGTTATCCCAGCTGGTCGGTGCAGTCGACTCGGGCCAGAGACCACCACTCCTAGATCAGCAGGTCTCTGGGATCGACCAGTACCATCCACTACTGAGCAACCTCAACAACCGACGCGATCTAGTCGGACTTGTTGGCGCGATCAATTGTCTGGCCGCAGGCCTCTCACATGGCGAGGTTATCAAGCCACTCGAGGACGAGCTGATGCAGATCGTCCGGAGGCCGATCAAGTTCTCGATCGTCGACCTGCTTGATGATCTCTTCCGTCGACGCTTACAGCCGTCCATCGACGATGGACTGCAAGCGCAGATCGCGGAGCGACTGGGGCAAGTCAACGGCCTCGAGCTGGCCTTTCAACTCCTCTGGACGATTCTCTCGACCTCGGAACTAGTCCGATGTGGGCCCGACGAAGGAGGAGAAGGGGTCAAGGTGACCATCCTCAGCCAAATGTTCCTGAGCGACTACCTCGTGAATGCGTTGGAGAAACGTTTCGAGCTGACCCGGAACGCGCTCATCTTCCTGGTCTATCTCTGTGGTGAGGAGGAGACGACGGGCGCGAAGCTGGGCGAGTTTGCCGGACTGACGTCCCAATATCTGCTCAGTTTCCAGCAGAGCATCATGGCCCGATGGCTCGTCCGTCAGTCAGCCAAGATCCCAGCCGAGCTCGCCTTCGAGGTTGAAGACAAGCTAGTGGACAGACTGGTCGAGTTACATGTGTCGACCGAGGCCGAGCTGGGAGCTCATCCGGGAGGCGCGATGATCAGGGATGCCAACTCAGCTACGAGTCTCTTGAGCTCATTACTGCTAACCAAGTTCATACCCGAGCTCAACGGCCGGCTCAAGCTACCCGGTAGCTTGGCCGAAGCAGGATCGACCTTCCTCGAACTCGTCGGCCTTTATACTAATCTCTCCCAACTCTCTGAATCTGAATTAACCGCCATCAAACTCATTCATACGCACCCTAATATCATCCTCCTCATCCATTTCTTCCTCAACGTCCATCGCCCGTCCGTCGCTCTCGATCTCCTTCATCTCCTCCCTGATACCGGGTGCGCTGTGCAGTTCTTGTTTGGGCTCGCTTATCTTCTTTCCGGGTCGATTGAAGAAGCTGAAGCCGGGTTCATTAAAGCTGCTTCTGCTATCTGTTAGTCTTCCCCTGTTTTCCTCTTATCACTACAATTAAATCATCAACTAATTTTTTTTTTTTCAAATACAGATGATGACAATTTTGAGGTGGATGATCAATCTGGACTTAGTTTGATTCTCCCCGAACCCAGTCGAAAGAGTCTAACAGAATATTACAACTACATTGTGCTCTTATTTGAGCCGATCGGAGCCGATCAATCGATTGCCAAGTTCTGTCAACTAGCTATCGACTCATCTTCTTCTTCCACTTTCTTTACTAGTAATACTGAGGATGATTACCAGAATGAGAAGAATCATCTGAACCAGTTGGTCTTGAATCTTTGGGTGAAGTTGTTCAAGGCTCTCGTCAATCTGGCACTATGGGATGACGCATATCAAGCTTTGGTCAGCATCCCATCCATCGAAAGGTTAGTAATCTTTGCATTTTTTCTTTCTAGATTATTTTCAACTGATGGAAAACTGGTTTTCTTTTTTTTTTTTTTTTTGTGGGGTAGTCAAAATGATTGTTTGAGGACCTTGGTCTCACACATGTGTGAAGCAAACGAGGTCGATAAATTGTTGAGATTTAGCTGGACCGGGTTGCAGATCGAGTTCGAGAAAACCATCTCCTTTCGTGCTCGCAATTCAGATCCCCTTGGCCTGCCGAATTATTTCTCCATTCTGTATGCTTATCATATCAATCGCGCCGATTATCGCAGTGGTTAGTATCTTTTTGTCCCTTAAACAGTTTACTAAAAGTTGAAGATTTAATGAATCATAACTCTTTTTTTACAGCTGCGATTTCGATGTATCAACATGCTCGAAAGATCGGGGATATTTCTATCAAGGGTGGGGCATTCCAATTCATGTTGACCCAACAATGTCAAAGCTATCTAGCCGCGATCAATGCCTTATCGCTTGTTCCCGAGAAACAAGCCTGGATCCCGATGAGTTGTCCGAAGGTGGCATCCCAAGACACGTACGGTTCAGAGGCCCGAAGGGGTCCGGGAACTGAAGGAATGCGAAGTCGGAAACGGGTGACCTATTATGTGCCCGAGGAGGAGTTTCTGGGGGGAACACGGGATGTGGAGGTGTTGAAGCTAGCGGATCTTCGGGCAGAATACACGCTAGTTCTATCGCGACTGCAGCTAGCGAACGAGCTGCCCCAGCTGAGCCAGCCGGGGACGAGCACGACAAGCGGGGCGTATCTGGACGGGGCGACGCTGGTGCCGATGGTCCTGAACCAAGGGCGACTGACAGAGGCCTTGGAGAAGGCCATCGTCCTCGGCACCGACCTCGGCCCGCTCTTCGTCAGACTCGCCGAGAGTTGCTGCAGACTTTCGCTCGATATCGGACTGCCTGGAAACTCGTTCGACTTCCAGTGGGTCAATGGCGACCCCTTGGCCGCCCATTGGGATACCGACCTGGTCTCCAAAGCTTGGGCATTACTCCAGCGTCATCTTACCCTCATCTTCCCTATCTCTTCCTCTTCTCCAAACTCACTCGATCATCATCAGAATCATCAGTTCAATCCTTCCCAGGCTTGGAAAACTAGAGAGGCCGTCCTCGAAACTATCCTCAAATCTGCTAGGAATCTTAAGGTTCCGCTCTGGCTTCTCAAGCTTTTCTTGGACTTCAATCCCACTAAATTGCTCAAAATCTTCTTCAAATTCGACTTGCTTTCTGATGCTTTCACTGTCGCTTTACATATCATCGACCAAGTCAGTTCTTTTTTCTCTCTTTTTCTTTTTCGAATCGCCGTTCCCACTTTCATTCTTGCTCACCTTCTTGACACTGTTTTTTTTGGTTATGTTACAGGTTGCAAAGACACAAAGATCGACCGATCCGTTGATGTCTAAGAAGAAGAACAAGAAGTTGATGATGGCAGGACACCCGGCGATTCCGTTCACGGACATCGACCAACTGCTTACTCTGACTGCTGAGGATCTGACCGTATCAACGTCGACGTCTTTAGGAGAAGAGGGGGGTTCTCATCTTGCCGGTCATCTCGCACTGGAAGGCGAGGAGGCTTTGCTGCAGCAGCGGGCGGCCGAGCTCGACCCGCTCCGGCTCTCTCATCTCCAGAACTTGGTCTACTCTAAACTTAATCAAATCTTCGATCCGCCCGAGGGCTCGTTTCAGACGTCTGATTCTGCCACCTCTGTCGTTGCTGCGACTTCTACTTCAGGCTTTAATCGACAACTTGTCGGCCGTTAAATCAAACGGATCGTTTCTTTGCTTTGCTTTTCTTGGGATGATTTATGTTTCTTGCTTTTTCCCTTATACAATTTTGTTTCTAAAAAATCAAACAAATAAAAAGAGAACAATAATCATAAACCTTGTTGGTGGGATACGCAATGTCAAAAAGAAAAATGGATGGATGGATGGGTGGGTGAATAAGTAATGCAAAAAAAGTGGTTTGCGCGCGAGTGGAGTGGGGTGGACAGTGGACGGGACATCTACATCCTTCATCTGGCAATGACAAGTGGTCTCACGAATGCGGTTCAGGAGGATGTGTGTCCAGTGGCAGGATCGAGATGGATGAGTTGATTTGCCATTTGGCCACTGGCAAATGACTGCAGGGCCTTTTGTTTTTGTGCGTCTATGATGTAGTCTAACATAGGCCAAAATACATAGTAACCGTCAATCAACCATTTACCAAGAGCAACTTTTGCTTTGCAGGGTGTACCACAGAGAGGCAGCATTTGGACAAACATTTTCCACTACAGCCCACTCTTGTTGCAAAATGTTCAAGTATGAGAGCATCATTGTCGCGTACTGGAAAGATTTACACGATTCTTCCCAGGCGGAATTGAAGGCTCAGATATGATTGATTCAGATACCATGACAGCATGAGCCAATCAGATGTTATCTGTATTTTTCTCGGGACTGAATCAAAAGACACTGTTTCTCGAGCTCTGAACTCTGTCAGGGGCAGGCATGTAGAAATAAGCATCCTGACTTCCTGTCATTTTGTGTGGTGAGGAGAGTTTTAGGATTATTGAATCAAACAAATGGTGTTCATTTGACTACAGATAATGTGGTAGCAAGAATCAGGCTTATAATGTGTAAGGGCAAGGGCATATGTGTCCTACCAGAAAAGACCATCGTACATATATGCCGGACACGAGTTTCGGATAGAGCTCTCAATATCCGACCCCGGAGAGGCTCCGGATTATATCCTTCTCAGCTGCCTTTAACACCTCTAGGCTCTAGACAGCATCGGACCAGATCGACGGAGCATTTGCAGCCGCCTTCAGGTGATCCGGCGTACAGCTGAGCTTCGGATGATCGCGTGAAACCTAGTTAGGGCTTATCCATAATGGCCCATATTTCGGCCGGCTAGCTGCGGCCCAGCTCGGTTGATTGAGCCATCTATAAATTGCCCGTCACCCATCTAGCCGTTAAGTCGGGCCGGCCACACCCCGGTAGCCAAGTCTGTATGAGCTTGTAGCAGCCTTTTCTCCTCGACCCACCACCATATTATGTACAACGGCAGCAATGGGAAACAACCAGGTGAGCTCTCATTCCAATTACTGTCGCCATGATTCCCTTCATTCTTCCCGGTGCACTCAAAGACTGTGGGCCTCCGATTGCCATTTATAAATGATGAAATAACTCGAATATTGGAGCTGTTTGAGCTTCCTATCATCCCCCCTCTGGGGATGCTTGGGGCAACGAAACTAAACTTCAGTTAATTACCAAATTCTGATCCTGTCTTGACCGCTTCAATCTCCTTTCCTCGTCTCACGATTCTTGTCTGTTTGCTTTGCTAATTTAACTCTCGTGAATCCTGCTTAGATTTGCTCGCAAACCGTCGAGGAATAGATTGTTTTTTCCCTGTTATAGGTGTCGACCGATGTGGAACTCAAACATGACGTTCCCGACGAGGTAGAAAGCAATCTTAGTCGGGCACGCGACACTAGTCATCCTGGGTCAGCCTTAGGCCGCTCAGTCTGCAAGCTTATCAAGGTTCGTCTCCTGTCTCATTCCGTCTTAGGCCATCATTCATACCTACGTCCTCAACGTTTTACATGATGAGTTTTATATTACTTTGAGCTGCGTTCTAATGATCGCTGCCTTGAAACCACAAAATTAAACTTATTTCCAATTGATCCTTCTGAACTTGTGCCACCACTCCTCATTATCCTCTTCCATCCCTAGCCCGAATTCATATGAGCGTTATCATTTTACTGACTCCCGACCTTGCCTTCTTCTCCTCGACATAATCAACTGTGTAATGCTTCCAGGGAGTGAGTCAATCATCCGACACGACGGTCCCACTTTTGATTCATCACAATTAGAGCTGACCGCCTCTCCAAGTGGGCTTCTTACCCCATTGTGGGATGTGACCGACGAGATCTGCGATCCGCCCTGAAGGAGATCACCTTCTCTGCCCAGGTTGCTTTTTAAAGGGCCCAACCAGAATCCATGTGATTAAGATTTCTTTCCATCTGGTTGATGCAATGAAAATATTTTGTGATCTCATGCCTAACGCTGCGCCTCTGCCGATGTCATTGCACTTGTCCACATCTTACACTCTCTACCCTTCGCTAATGAGCCACATCGACTTCCTGAAACCTTCCCAATTGGTTTTGATTCAATCAGCCTTTGGGCTGGATGTGTGTGCCAACACTTCATGAGATGTCAGTTCAAGCAACTTGTCACATGAGGCTGGATTCAGGGTGCCCGATGGAGGTCCAGAAGTGAAACCTCTCTAAGCGCATCTCCCTTCTCTTAGAAAAAGGTGAGATTTTGCCTAGGGCATTGCACAATATGTTGAATCTTGAAACAATTAGGGCCTGTACCATTTTGCAATTGTGCACAAAACAACCTACACAAATATGTACACACAAAAGAACCAACACAAATACACACAAAACAACCAACACAGAAATTGGAGGACTTCCCGTCAACATCTGCGGCTCTCCCAGTTTTGATTTAGAGCCGAAAAAGCTAGATTTCCCTGCAAAAATCCAGACTTTTTGGGTCTAAATCGGAAACTGCGAGGGTCCCAGATCCCACGGGAAGTCCTCCATTGTCTTGACCAAACAAAAGAAGGTTGGAACCTCTTGAATTTTCTTGTCCTTGTTAATGCTGTGCACTAATAAGGTTTTTTTTTGAGGATTCCATCATAAGGTATCCTACCTTTTGCTTCTGCCTCCCCTGTCCCCATCCAGCCGGGGGTTGAGCGTGCCCCTTTTTCTGCTATTGCTGACAGAATGGCCAGGTAGTGGTAGCAAAAGAAAGGGATCCACTATCAGGGGCTACTTCTGCTCTTGAATTGCTACCATCAATGATAGCACAGTTTAGCGCCCATTAGTGTAGCATAGCGGCCCATAGAATCACTATCCATGAAAAGAAAGTGGTGGGAAACTAAGAAGTGCTAAGCTATTGATTATCACAACTACAGATAGTGTAGCACAGTAGCTGACTGTTGATGTTGGTCTGACAGTCTGGAGGACATTTCCCAGGGTTTGAGAGCCAGAAATCCAAACCCTGGGAATTTTTTCCTCAATGACTGAAAGAAGAAAAAGCCAAATATTTATATATTCTAGGACAGTACCCTTAACAGAATAACATTTATTCATGAACCTCGGGTGCCCAACCTTTTCATTTTTTGCCAAAAGGTTTATAAATTTTGTTCAACTTCACTAGTCTTTAAATGCAGCTGTACCACCTAGCACTTCTAATTTATTTCAGGTTCCAAGTATAAAAAATGATGGGTACTGTCTTTCCCCATGATGAAATAAAAACATACAGCTGGATAGTGGGCTAGGTTGATGAGAATACAAAATGTATTTGCAAGAAAATATTTTCAAAGAAGTTACAGGCCAAAGGTTGAATGGTAACAATTATGAGACAGATGTGGAAGGAGATATGCAGGCATATTGAGGCAGGGGTGAACACATTTGTGGTGTAGTGGGTATTGTGAAGGAAGTGCTGTGTGGGACAGATTTCCCTTAAAGTCAGAGGGAAACATGCTGCAAAAAAGGGTGAAGATGAGTGGGAATTTAAGGTTTGGATGCCCAAAGTGCTGCTGCACACACCAGGTGCTGTTAAAGTAGAGTTGCTATCCAGGAATTGGGTGGGGAAGATGTGTAGTGTTTGTGTTTCACAAAAGGAACACAAACGCAGCCTATGATTCTCCTTGGTCCAGATTTGCTATCAAGTCTTCAAATTTGAAGACTGGATAGAGAATAGATGAAGAATAAAACTGTTAAATAGTGACACTGATGGCAACTCTGGTGGGTCATGATTTTTGAATAGCAACCCTTGTGGAGTTTCTCTTAAGAAAGTATTGCATGTGCTGAAAGTAATGGGATGAGGAAAATTGATGGAAGCTACCAGAAAAGGAGAGGTAATGTCAATGTTTGGGGGAGGCTGTTGAGGGAGGGTTTTGAGGAGGGTAAGTAAAAATCTTAAACAAAAACACTGAAAAGAAGAGGAAGCCAACTATAAACAATGGTGAATGATACTAGACATGGATAATATCAATTGAGGGTATTGTATTTAGAAGTTATAAAACAAATCCAGGTTTGATTAGTTTCAAGCCATCATTTGGCTCTTTTTTTGGTGGCATTGCTCAGATTCAGGCAATCTGGGAAAATACCCTCTTTTTTTTTGGGGGGGGGGGGGGTTGAGACCTGATAAAGAAATTGTGCTGCTTCAGAAGGATCATCATATAGTGTGATGTTGAAAGAATTCACATCAAGACCTGTGCACCTTTAATAGCAGGGTTCATGATTGGCATTTCTCATAAAGCCTTTTATCCCAAACCAGCAGCTGCATGACCTGCTTCAAAGCATAAAAACACGCTTATCCAAGCCACGTCTGATATCCAAGCAATGGCCAACCAACCGTTTTTAGCAAAACGAGGATCAAAAAGCTCAATCATGAGCCCCGCTATCATAAAACCTCAAAACTAGATTTCCCTGCAGCAATAATCAAGCCTGTTCAGGTCCAAATCAATATCTACAAGGGTCCCAGATTTGATGGGAATCCCACCATCAATGAGGTGGTTAAAATAGTTATTTATTTAGATATTACCAAACAAATTCAGTGCCGTGAGGCAAACCAACCTCATTGAGTTGTAATGTGGTAAACTCACCAGGGCAGTTTCCCCCCCTTGAGACAAGACCTCATCAAGTTAGCTACTCATTGAGGTAAGTCAACTTGGATGAGGATTTGTCTCAAAATCTGTGATGGCAAGGCAAGCTGTAAGTTGCACTCGGTATACTGACAACAGAGCTCTTGGCCTTTTGCTCGGTGTGAGTCATCGGCTTGAAGTACGCCATGCTCATATACTTCGTTAAGGAGAGCAAGGGATTGATAATTGTTTTTTTCTTGATTATCATTGCTGTAAGTGGCCTAGTTTCAGCTCAGATCTGAATCTGAAGGACGTAAGTCTGAGATGAAGAGAATGTTCGACTGAGGCTACTTTCGAAT